AGGTACAAACTTTCAGTTATAAGATGAGTAAGTTCTGGGGATCTAATTAATGTACAGCATGGTCTCTAAAATGGTACTGTATTGTATACTTGATAGTTGCTGTGAGAGTGGATCTTAAACATTCTTACCAAAACAACAACAACAAAAGGATAATTACGTGTTAACCAACCTTATTGTGGTGAGAATTTCACAAGATGTATGTGTATCAAATCATCACATTGTACATATTAAACTTACACAATGTTATATGTCAATTATATCTCAATAAAGATGGGAAAAGAAAGAATGGTTTTTCTCATTTTTAAATGGTTATGTAAATATGTACTTAATAGCCTCAATTCTGCCTCTTGACCCACAAAACCTACAATACTTATAAAATGGCCCTTTCAGCTTTGTTTTAGTTTTCCCATTTAGATCTACAATGCTCTTGCAATTGACTTCTGTGTTTGGTGTGAGGTAGAGAGTCAAGATTCATTTATTTCTTTTCAGATATCCAGTTAACCCAGAATCATTTATTGAAAGGCCATCGTTTCTATCATGCTCTGCTGTGTTACCTTTATCATAAATTAAGCATCCATTTAAATACGGGTCTGTATTTGGATTCTCCACTCTGTTCCACTGTTCTATTTGTCCAATAAACTCTTAGAAAATTTCTTTTGTCTTAATCAGCCAGAATCAGCCTCTGTTGCTTGCAACCAAGAACTGACAGGAATAAATAATTTCAGGACTCAATCTTTGGACCTCTTCTCTCTCTGTGAGACAGCCTACATTCTAATGGTTTCAAATTACCAGCCAATACTGAAAATCCCCACAGGTCAATCTTTCCCAGACCTCCCTTCTGGGCACCAGACCTGTATATGCAACTGCCTACATGACATCGCCACTTGGAAGTCCTAAAGGTACCTTAAAATAGACTAATTCCTTTTTCTATTTCAGGATTCAGCTTTAAATGCTATTTCCTTAGGAACTGACACCGTCCTCATTCAACCAGGAGGTGACAGTCCCATGGTTCTTACCCAGTTCTCTTTCTTCAAAGCATTTATCCCAGACCTAACGAACTGTTTGTATGCTTATTTTAAAATATCTGTTCTACCATTATACTGTAGATATATGAGAACAGACACACTGTGTCATGTTCACTGCTACATCTTTTCCACCTCATTCATAGTGATTGGCCCATTTGTTATAAGGAATGAAGAAAAACTTCCTGCCACCAAATCTAGGAACCTCCTGCTTCTCCAGCCAATCCTTTCTTCTTTTTCAATGAAGAAAGTATCCCACCTCCTACTAAATATCATCTCATCCATCTGCACCTCAGAACCCAACCCTTTTTACCTCAGAATCCTTGAGCTACCAATTACCTCACTTTTCTCCTGTATTTTTTACTTCTCTATCATTACTAGATCCTTTCCATTAGCAATTCTTTTACCTTTAATTATGAAAGTTTTAAAACACACCTATCACTCAGATTTAATAATTGTGAATTTTTTGCCATATGTGCGTCATCTTTTTTCTGCTTGAATACTTTAGAAGTAAATTACTGGTACTATACGATTTCACTCCTAAATAAATATTTCAGTATGCATTTTTGAAAAATAAGGATATTTTCCCATATAACTACAATACCATTATCATACTAACAAAATTTATAGTGATTCCTTAATATCACCTAGTATCTAGTTCATATTCAAATTTCATCAATGTTCCCAAAAGGTTTTTTACAGTTGATATGTTTGAACTAGAATTCGATCAAGGTCCACACACCCCATATGAATATCTCCCTTACATCTCTCTCTCTTTTTTTGTCTTTCTTGTATTTTGTATATTTGCCGCAGTGCTCTCTCCCCACTGTTTTCATAGCGTTGACTTGTTGAAGAGACCTGGCTAGTTCTCATTGTCGCTACTGAGACATGCTCAAGCCTCTCCTATCTAAAAATAAAACCACCACCACAAAACATATCCCCGCCTCTCCTTCTAGCTACCTTTTCTTCATTTTCTCCAACTTCGTGATAACACTGGATAATTTTGCTGTCTCCATCTTATCACTTTCCACTCATTTCTCAACCCATTCCAATCTAGATTTTATCCACTGTTGTAACTGCTCTTGTAAAATCACCAATGACCTCTACTACCCTGAATCCTTAGGACACGTTTCAGTCCTTATCTTACTTGGCTTCTCAGAGTATTCCACTGTTGTACTACTTCTCCTTCTTCAAACACTCCGTGGCTTCTGTGAAACCCACGGTCTAGACTTTCCCATCTCTCTGTTTTGCTCACTCATCAATTTCTCCTGTCAGCTCTTCCATCTCTACCTAAACATTAAATACTGGAAGAAATTCTAGGACTGTCCTGGTCACCAATTCTCTTTGTACTCTGTTCTTTCCCTAAGCAATTTCATCCCTTCACACGGCTTCATTTATCATCTGTGGTTGACAAACTCAAATTTTAACCTCCACTCTGGCTCTTGCTGCTGTTCTACGGACTTAAGTCCAACTGACTATTCCACATCTCCACTTGCATATCTCACAGAAATCTCAGACTCACCATGTCCAAAACTTATTTCATTATCTCTTTACCTTCTTATCCGCCACCACCATCCCCAATTTTCCTCCAGTACTTTCTTTTTTATTTTTTTTAAAGATTTTATTTATTTATTTATTTTCTCCCCAAAGCCCCAGTAGATAGTTGTATGTCATAGGTGCACATCCTTCTAGTTGCTGTATGTGGGACGCAGCCTCAGCATGGCCGGAGAAGCGGTGCGTCGGTGCGCGCCCGGGATCCGAACCCGGGCCGCCAGCAGCGGAGCGCGCGCACTTAACTGCTAAGCCATGGGGCCGGCCCCTGCCTCCAGTACTTTCTAATCCAGTAAAGGTACTATCCTTCACTCAGTTGCTTAAGGCAGAAAACCAAGAGAGATCTCTGACTTTTTTCTCTTTCCCTCATTTCCAATCCAAACAGTAAATTCTGCCTTTTCTACCTTTAAAATATCTTCTGATTTGTATTAGTTTCCTAAGGCTACTGTAAAAAAGCGCCACAAATTGGGTGGCTTAACACAACAGAAATTTATTTTCTCACAGTTCTGAAGGCCAGAAGTCCAAAATCAAGGTGCTGGCAGGGTTGGTTCCTTTTGGGGGTTCTGAGGGATAATCTCGTCTATGCCTCTCTCCTAGCTTCTGGTAGTTACTGGCAATCCTTGGCATTCTTTGGGTTGTAGGTGCATCATCTCAATCTCTCTGCCTCTGTTGTCACTTGGGCTTCTTCCTTGTGTGTGTCTGTGTGTCTCTGTATCTCTCTCTCCTCATATGGACACCTCATTGGATCTAGGGCCCATCCTAACCCAGTGTGACCTCATCTAAACTTGATTATACCTGCAAAGACCCTATTTCCAAATAAGGTCACATTCACAGGTACCAAACGTTAGGACTTCAATACATTTTTGGGGAGGTCAAAATTCAACCCACAATATAATCCTTTCTACTTTTCTGTATAGTATAGTGATGAAAGAGATGGACTGCTGAGTCACACTGCCTAAGCTGAATCCTAGCTCTGCCACTTTCTAGCTGTGCGATCTTAGAAAAATTACCTACTCTCTTTTGTGCTTCACGTTCCCAATCTGTAAAGTGGGGATGAAAACAGTAGCTATCTCATGGGATTGTTGCGAGGGTTACACAAGTTAATATATATCAAGCACCTGATACAGATCCTGGGACATGGTGTTAAGTGTTAGTTATTACTGTAACGATACCCACTTGACTGCTATTATATCCAGCATCTCTACTTGCCCTATTTGGAATGGTGCTTTCCACACCCACTCTCTACCCTTCCAATCTGTCCTTCACACTGTAGTCAGAAAGATCTTTGCAAACAACACAAATCTGTTCATGTCACTGCCCTGCTTAAGACCTTGTTTTCACCTGCCCCAGTTTTCACACCGCTCTTACTCCTCACCCTCCCAACTTCTCCCAGCCCTTCATCTTCACCTGGTTAATGTTTACTCACTTATCAGATTTTGGGTTAGACACACTTCCTTCAAGAAGTTTTCAGATTCACAAGTTAGTATCTACCTGTACTTCTCCTTCACAACATTCTGCATACTTGTTATTACTACTTGTTCAGTTTTTATTTAGATTAACTTCCATTAGAAGGGCAGGGTAACTGCTGTAACCTCAGCTCCTATTACACGGGCCTGGCACATAATTTGTGCTCAATAAATTTCTTCTGAAGGAATAAATGAAACGAATCAATCTTGCTCATGGGTTTGAGTTTGAGTGAGTCACACAGACATATCTGGTATACTGCAGCAAATGAGCACATCATGCAGTATCTTGCGTTAATTCTGCCTCATACAGCAAGAAGTGGCCTGCCCAGGATGGCATGGAGATTGCTGATTGTGAGGTCCTGGTAGGCATAACTTGTACCTTCATCTTTGTATTCTTAGATTTTAGCCTGGCACATGGTAGGCAGCCAATAAGCTGTGATGAATAAACTTTTCTTGAAATGTGGGTGGCTGGGTGTCGTGATAATCCCAACACTTTCCCTTTCCTCCTATCCCCAAAGCCCAGGAACCCCTACGGCCCTCCATCAGTTCATTCTTCCATTACCTATGCTCCAAAATGAGCCAGGCCCCTCCCTCTTTAACTGGAAACTCAGACCCCAGATTTTTAACCATTAGAAGCGGTCACAGAGAAGTGCATTAAATTACTAACCTAAACTAACAGCAGGCAGGGGCGTCCCTGGCTCATCTCTGTATCCCTCGCCCATCCCGACCCCAATGTCCCGCACACAGTGGGCGTCTGCTGAACAATCTTCACCCCGCTGTTGACTTCCAACCTGGTGAGACCAAAGTGGCTCGGCTTCCCTCCCCAAGGAAGGGCCCCAGGAGCAAAGCCCTCGGCCACTCGTCCGTCCCAGCCCAGGCAGTCCCCTCACTCGGCCGGCTCGGGTCCGCGCCCCCGGGGCTCCGCCGCCGCCCCCTCAGCCCGGCCCGCGGCCCCACTCACTGTTCTTGAGGAAGCGCTCCTCGTGCAGCACGGCGATGGCATTGACACAAAGCAGGGCCGCCTGCAGCAGCGAGTACAAGGTAAAGGCCATTGCAGCCCGGAGCCGCCCGGAGGCCCAACCGAGATTTCTCCCGTCGCCGGAGGAGACGTGGCGCCGACACGGCCGGCGCTCCTCTACGGGAGCCGGTGAGGCCCAAAACGCGCTCTCCGAGAAGCTCCGCCCCACGCTTACGTCAGCAAGGCGTGTCTGCTTAGGTCTGCCGCGGACCTGTGCTGTCCAATGCGGTAACGACATGTGGCTGTTGAAAACTTGAAATGTGGCTGGTCCAAACTGAGATGCTGTAAGTGTAAAATACACACTAGATTTGAAAGATAGCACGAAACAATAACGTCAAATCTCCCAATAATTTTTAAATGTTGATTACATGTTGAAATGATATTTTGAATATATTAGGTAAATAAAATAAATTACTAACATTAATTTTTACTGTTTATTTCTACTTTTTAAAAAATGTGGCTATGAGGACACTGATAATGATATGTGAGGCTTGCATTATATTTCTATTGGACAGCGCTGTGCTAGATGCTCCCAAGAGCTGTATGAGATGTTAATATTCCTATTTTACAGGTGAAGAAGCGGAGGCTTTGGCAAATAATTTTTTTTTTTTTAAATAAAATAACATGTCTTAAAAGTACTCAGTGAGAAACATTCTCTCCTTGATCAAACTCTAGCCAGGCTCCTCTGAGCCCTCTTCTCAACTAGGCCTCAACCTTGGCCCATAATAACTACAAATACTCAACACAAATGATTCCATCCACTCCCGTATCCCCACGTTAAAAGACTTATACAAACATTAACATAGTTTCTAACAGCTCAAGGCTGCATCCCTCGGATGTCCCCAGACCCCCTTAAAGTGCCTCCCTGAGAAAGCTTAAGGCTGCCAAAAGAATTCACAGCTTGTTGTAGCCAACACCTGAAAACAGGCTCTTGAACACCCTTTCTTAGAGTTTACTAAAAAGGGCATACAATTGTGAATCCTTCCTCTGTCCCTTTGAGATGTATATGTATATCCTGCAATTCAGGAGTTTCTTTCTCAAGGACCTGAGAACCATTCCTTTAAAATGTAATCATCAGGAAGGATAAGGCTTCTGTCCTGCAGTTTCTGTGGGAGGATAGAATTCTAACTTTGATAACTGCCAGCTAACAGACAGCTGGCGTAGTCAACATTTACACTGACAACCCCTTTGTAATTTTTCACTTCACTGACTCTACTGAGCCCCTGCTCACCTCCCTTTCTACTCCCTCATTCTCCCTTTCAAAATGCCCTGTCACTTCTGTACAAATTGAAGTTGAGTTCAGTTCACACTTGAACCTCTTCACCATTGCAATAGTGTATTACTGATTAAAATCTGTCTTGACTAACTGGCGTCCAGCTTTGTTTATCTTTGACAGCAGCAGGAAGAGGCTGAGTCCAATCATGTTAAATTTTAGATATTGTTTGAGGGCAAGCACTCAAACTAATCACTTCCTGAACTTCTCAGGGTCCCCTAAAATAGAAAAGGGAAAAGCAGCACATTCTGTCCCAGAAAGGACTTTGGAAGCCCATGTGTTGCTGCTGCTGGAAGAGATACTAGCCAAAAAAAAAAAAAAGAATAATTAGTTAAACTCTCAAGAAAAAAATTAAGCTAAAATAGATCAGCTGGTTAGTGCCTACAGGGAAGAAGAGATGTATCATTTCCCACAGACATACATAAATGCTATCTCCAAAATCGTCCCTAAGTGCAAATCAGGTGGGGAGAGGCACAGGAAGATAAAGTAAAGAAAATAAAAGAAACAACAGGATACCAACAAGTCCTCCAGCTTTTCAAGGCCCACAAAACTCTAGACACTGGTGATAGAGAAGGAAGGTTGTTCCTGTTAAGTGGGCAGTGACCACTCCATGATTTCTACACTGTGCTGGGTGTGGGGAGGGGGTACCTAGGGGTCCTTGTCAGGAAGCTTTGGTTGAGCAGTGAATCACAGATTTTACTAGATTGTTTGTCTACTGAGGAGGAGGGTAAAGGGGGATGGATGGAGTAGAGGTGAGAATAAAGCCTCCAACAGTTAGCCCTTTGTGTCACCCACCACTGGGTTGCAGCTCACATGATCCAATTCTTTTATTGTCAAAAGAACCAGGTTAACTTCTCTGGGCCTCTGTTACTTCATCTATAAAATTAGGCGATTATGATTTCTAGGGCTCCTTCAGCACCCAAAATCTCTGGATCTAGCAAAAGCAGCTTAAAATATAAGATAGTACACAAGTACTAGTACCACATTATCTGATTCATTATTTTTCAAAAGCCCAGGCTTGTTGCCTAAGCTGATGACAGCAGATTATATCCTTAAAAAGAATTGTTCCTCTGATGTCCTTACTTCCAAAGAAATTCAAAAGCCTGGAATTTGTTAATATATTTATAAAATAGTTGTCTCAGTTAAAAAAAAAAAAAAAATCTGGGGCTGGCCTGGTGGCGTAGCGGTTAAGTTCACATGCTCCGCTTCAGCGACCTGGAGTTTGCAGGTTTGGATCCCGGGCACGGACCGACGCACTGCTTGTCAAGCCATGCTGTGGTGGTGTCCCATATAAATTAGAGGAAGATGGGCACAGATGTTAGCCCAGGGCCAATCTTCCTCAGCAAAAAGAGGAGGATTGGCAATGGATGTTAGCTCAGGGCTGATCTTCCTCACACACACACACAAAATAAATTAATAAAAAAAAATCTATCCCCAAACCAAGAACTGGGTAAAATGCATATTCTGCATTTTAGCAGCTTGAAAAAAAGTTACTGACTATGACCTATTTAAAATTAGAACGTGCTGCTTGGAGCTGAGCTTCTTACGTCTGTATGATACATTTTCATGCATTCATGTTAGATATCCTATCAGACTACAGTTGAGGATGAAAGAATTTTTTCAATGTCAGACACAGATGTTTCCTTATCATTTGCTTCTTCGAGTTTTGTTTTGCTTGTTTCTCTTCAGACTGTTAAAATGCACACTTTGGCATCTTGGAACATCTTGCCACAGACTTTCTTTGTAACTAGTAATATGGAGTCAGTGTTTTCATTCCTTTGACAAGAATCAAAGAATGGGTGCCTTCAGTAAAGTTCCTTTAGGCAAAGGAGAGCAATGGTTAAGATTATGTCTAGGGTAATTTTTATGTTTGGCTCCTGATTAGATGTTGGGAGCAGGGTAGAAGTAGTAGTTAAACTTACCTTTCAAAGTTAAAATGCCCCAGGTTGGACTCAGTCCATGGACTTATGAAAGACTGCATTACTGAACTTAGATTTTTACCCTTCCCTGTAGCAGTGCCTCTGCATTATCATTTTGCTGATCCTTGACTTTGGCTTCAGCTACATGACTTGCTTTGGCCAACGGAATGAGGAGGAGGTGATGCTGTGCCAGCTCTGAGCCTAAATCTCAAGAGGCCTTATTTGTTTCTGCTTTCTTTCTTGTGCCTCTGACATTGCCGTGAAAAAAAACATGCCTGAGTTAGCCCACTGGTTCTAGGAGAAGGATGAGAGACACTTGGAGCAGAACCAAATCACTCCAGTCAAGCCCAGCCTAGATCAGCAAACCCTCATCCAACCACAGATCCATAAGAATAACTAATTGTTGTTTTCAGTCACTAAATTTTGGAGTTGTTTGTTCCACAGTATTTTTAAAGCAACAGACCTACTCTACCTACAGTTATTCCTTTGGTGATCTAATTTATTCTGATGGCTTGAAAACATTTATACACTCTGAAGACTCCCAAATTATATCTCCTACCCAGAACTCACCCGTGAAATCTTGGCTGATATTTCCAGCTGACTACCACCTGGGTGTCTAATAGATATCTCAAGCTTACCTTGCCCGAAAGTAAACTCCTGATTTCCCTCTGAAACCTACCTCGCCTGCAGTCATCCCATTTCAGTTAATGGCAGCTCCATCCTTCCAGCAGTTCAGGGAAAAAACGTTGGATTGTCCTTGGCTCTATCTCCTTCTTTCACACCCTATACACAATCCATCAGCAAATTCTGTTGACTTTAATTTCAACATATATCCAAACCTGACCACTTCTCACCTTCTCTACCACTAAAACTCTGGTCCAACCCACCATCACCTCTTGCATAGATTAGTGCACTAGCTCCTAACAGGTCTCTCTGGTCCACCTTTGCCTCTCTACAGTTTATTCTCCCCAGAGAAGCCCAAGTACTTCTTTTAAAGCTAAGTAAGGAAAGCAATTTATTTGTTGAGAGTACTGGGTCATTTGTCTCGTGGAACTTCTGACATTTTAGATTTTGCTAATTGTATTCCCGTGGCTGACTTAAATGCTATGTATGATACCTGAATCATCTGTAAAAAATAAAAACTCTTGCTGATTGAAGAAAATAGTCACTATTTAAATTGGCTAAAACCTTTCACTAACTCAGTGAAAAATATCAGATATGTGGTAAAGAAAAAATTTTCACAAGTCAGATCTTAGAATAATTCTTCAATAAATATGTTGGCTGCTCTCTTTCCATTCCTGTTTTTAAGTCTCAGCATTTCTATTCCTACATCCATTAAAAAAAAAGTTCATTAAGATAAAGATTGTGCATGTTATTTATTAAAAATTTAGACACACCTTGAAGAATGATAAAAATGGACTATTGGTTTTTAACATTTTTATCCTAATATATTTTAATAGATAAATTTATTTTATTGTCTATGCCTGAGATATGAATCAATGATGAGTGAGGTATGTTTGCTTTTAATCCTGTTATTTACAATAGCAACCTTGAGTTTAAATGGGTTTATGGCAGCGGAATTCACCCAAATGGGTTCTATTTGAGGTAAGCATTGGACTAAAATAGGAAAATCCCACAAGAAGAGCCTCATTCATGTTTATGGATTCATACAAGCTATTCCTGGTATGAGACGCAAATGAAATCATTTGCAAGCTGAAAGCTTGTGCATTATGCAGTGTTTCTGAAAATAGGGCTCTTGGAAATGGAAAATTTCTTTAAAAAATAAAAATGAGTCACTGTATCTATTTTTAAAAAGGATTAATCCTGAATGGCTACATATAGCTGACTAGGTTTATTTAAAAAAAAAAATACCACCTGAGTAAATAAAAGCAGAATAAAAAAACTAGAGAAACTACTTACTCGAATGTATATCATTC